CATCTACACTCCAGCTGGGGTTGTGGTTTATAGTTTCGTGTAGGCCAGTGGTTCTCAGACTTTTGTATTGGTGACCTCTTTCACACAGCAAGCCTCTGAGTCTGGCCCCCTTATAAATTAAGAACACATTTTTTTATATTTAACACCATTATAAATACTGGAGGCAAAGCGGGGTTTGGGGGGTGGAGGCTAACAGCTCACAACCCCCATGTAATAACTTTGTGACCCCCTGAGGAGTCACGGCCCCCAGTTTGAGATGCGTGAAGCCCACACCATCCTCTCTTCTATTTTTAGGAGCAAGCCAGAGTATAGCTAATGCTGGTACGTCTACACACACTGCTATTTTCATCCCCCGGCTACAATGTAGATGTATCCATACATGCCCACCACTGTGACATCATAATAGCTCAACAATGAGCTGTTCAATAAGTGACTTGACTCAATTTTCAGACCCTGTCATCCGCTCACCTCTGACCCACAGTCCCACCACTCGGTAAACAGCTATGATGAAGATGGGAGTGCAGAAGGCCAGAAAGAAGAGGAGAAAAAAGAGGGTACAGAAGAGAGGAAAGGCAGGATTCTCTTACTCCAACCATAAGAAATGTTCAGCGCGTCAGACAGCTTGGACTAAATTCACCCCCATGTCATTTCATTGATGTATTGCTCCAAAGGGTTAAGAAATGAGAACAGGTCTGTTTCTACCATTGACTAAATTCGAGAGAGAGCTGCTGTAACAGCATTAACCCCTTTCAGGCTGATTTCTGAGTTATAAGACAAGTAAATGGTCAGAGTACCGCAGATGATATAGGGGGCATGTTGGACCAGGAGGTGGATGGAACTCCCTTATAACCATCTTCAGTTACTGTTTGGTCCTTTAAGGCCCACATGCTGCTAGTATAAGTTAGAGCAACTCTGAGGCTGCTCTCACTCACTTTTGGCCAGGACCAGCACAGGCTGGCCCAGAGAATCAGGGAGCTGTAACAAGCAATGTGACATCCCACTCCCCTTCCTGCCCCAAGTGGTGCTCAGACAGGGGGGGAGATCTTCCCCATTGTATTCATAGTATTCTATAACTTTCAGAGAAAGATCTGAGAAAAGATGGAATCAAGGTTTTATTGGCTTCCAGTAAAGGCCTGTCAGCCAACCACAAGGGAATTGGGTGGATTTTGTTTTAGAGATTTTAATAAAAACTAGAGACACTACCACCAAATACCACCCCTCCCCCCGCTTTTTTTTTCATAACAGACTCAGGGGTAAGGGTTATGTCCCTGAGTAACCTCTAAGATCATTAGCATGGCGTTGAAACCCTCTAACCACTGAAACATGAGTCTCTGAAAACTCACCTCCACTCAAACCCGTTCCAACCCCAGACTGTCTTTAGCAGTTTAGAACCCAAAGCAAAAGGTTCATGCCATACCCGTGTCCCTGGTTGTTGTGACAATGCTATATAGCCAGATATAAATGGTCTATGGCAACTGTTGGCGTTAATTTCAATAAGGTTGTAAATCAGTTATTTTAAGCTAGCATTACTAGAACATAATAGTTGCTGAAAAATAAAAGTTTGAAAGCTAAGCCATGTGGAGTTAAGGTTCTGCAATCACCTTAACTCTGACCTTCAACCCTCAGTCCAAGCCACTTTATGGGGAGATGGGTCTATTATAAGTATTACAGTAATTTTAGAAGCTTTTGTAACATTTGATTACACAAGAAGAGGAAATGCATTCCACCCATATGCCTCAGTGTCTTTTGCTAATGATGGTACTCTTACTTCACTCGTCAATTTATGCAGAGTGGCTGGGATACAGGCGCACAGCAGACCTGTTTCTGAAGGGTGTCACCTTCAGATCCATTTAGGGATGTGTGTAGGAATGGAGATCTCAGATACAGTGGGTCCCTAGTTGGTATACAGAGTGTTGATTAAGTAATAAGGTTTTTCTGGGTAGCAGTGGAATGGTAGAGGTGGACAGTGCTGTTTCTGTAACATATACAGGAAATAAATTAATAGCAAATTGTCCTGGAGCCTTGTGATTTTTGTTTTTCCCCTTTTGACCTCTACTGTGGTAGAAATGATGCTGTTCTAGTGGGAGATACCACCCTGTTCATGCCTTCAGGCAGGGAGATGTATGGAAATGAAATTCTGCTCCTACCTAATTGCCCCTCCAGGGATTTAGCATGGTGAAGGAAGGAGTGCAGATTCTGTGCTAAAAGAGAGGTTCAGTCCCATTCTATCTCCCCCATGGTTGGACAGGAAGCACCAGTGCTTAGGGACTGGCAGGAGCATGGCCAGTTTCTCCTGGTTGCACTGTTGAGAGAATCACTGAATTAAAGGGCAGGCATTTCAGCGGGGAGACTGTATGTGTGTCTGTCTCTCTGTTGGGAGGGGCAGATCTCCACCACTGCCTTTCCCGCCAAGTGGCAGGTTGTCTATATGTAAAGATATTGGCAGCCATGGTGATGTAACTTACATAGACAATTCTTGTGGCCAGTGGGTGAGTATAATGAGAGCGAGTGGGGGTAGGAGAGTGAATAATGTGCTGCTGTTGTTTTTTAAAGAACTCTCAACCTGATAGACGTTCAATTTTGGCAGCTATTATAAATTTGCTAAGCTATCCTTTTTAAAAAAACAAAAAAAGCTAGATATATCTCTTTAAATGAAAGATTTGTTTAGATCCAGTATCACTTTAAAGGTTCAACCATCATTAGACCCAGTGGGGACGGATCAGAGTTTTCAAAGGTTCAGATTTCAGAGTAACAGCCGTGTTAGTCTGTATTCGCAAAAAGAAAAGGAGTACTTGTGGCACCTTAGAGACTAACCAATTTATTTGAGCATGAGCTTTCGTGAGCTACAGCTCACTTCATCGGATGCATACTGTGGAAACTGCAGAAGACTTTATATACACACAGAGAATATGAAACAATACCTCCTCCCACCCCACTGTCCTGCTGGTAATAGCTTATCTAAAGTGATCATCAAGTTGGGCCATTTCCAGCACAAATCCAGGTTTTCTCACCCTCCACCCCCCCACACACAAATTCACTCTCCTGCTGGTAATAGCCCATCCAAAGTGACAACTCTCTACACAATGTGCATGATAATCAAGTTGGGCCATTTCCTGCACAAATCCAGGTTCTCTCACCCCCTCATCCCCATACACACACAAACTCACTCTCCTGCTGGTAATACCTCATCCAAAGTGACCACTCTCCCTACAATGTGCATGATAATCAAGGTGGGCCATTTCCAGCACAAATTCAGGTTTTCTCACCCCCCCACCCCCATACACACACAAACTCACTCTCCTGCTGGTAATACCTCATCCAAAGTGACCACTCTCCCTACAATGTGCATGGTAATCAAGGTGGGCCATGTCCAGCACAAATCCAGGCTTTCTCACCCCTTTTTTTTCCCAGGAACACACACACACACACAAACTCACTCTCCTGCTGGCAATAGCTCATCCAAACTGACCACTCTCCAAGTTTAAATCCAAGGTTCAGAGTTTCATATCAGATAACTCCAAAATGAACCATCCAACATTCCTTAAAATACTAGTTCTCCTTGGGCTTGCCTGCACTACAAAGCTGTACTGCATTGGAGCCCTGTTGTGAACAATAGAGGCAGCTGACATGATACCGACCAGGACTTTGCAGTCACAGGAGCCCAGAACAATTCATGTTCAGCATAGTGTCAGATAATCGTGATGGAATCCTGCAGGTTTAATCATGATTAGCTCACAAGATGCTGAAGGTGGCAACATTTTGTAGTGTGGCTCAATCCCTCAGCATCAACTGAATAATGCCTATGTGGGGTTTCTGGGCCGAAGCCAAGATTTTTCAACATGATTAGTGATTTTGGGGTGCCTCCGTTTTCTTTAGTGTCCAGCTTGACACACCTTGAAGGGGCCTGATTTTCAGACAGTGCGCGTCCACCCTCTGAAAACCAGGCTCCTTCAAGGAGCCTTCAGTTGGGCACCCAAAACCACGACTCATTTTTGAAAATCTTGGCCCAAATCATGTTTGAAATGACATTTCATACACATGAGAAGACTTCCAAAAGCAAAATAACCCTCTTGTTTTTCAAACTTGCATCTCCAAGGCATCTTGTTGGATAGAACCCAGCCGTCAACAAAAAACGTAAAAAGTTCTTCTCTGTCTAGAGAACAAGCATGAGAAATTTCAGCTGGAAAGCCAGTGATTTAATGAAGTGAAAGGAGCAATCAAAATCAAGCTTCTAATAGAAAGTTAGTCTTTATACCATAGATCCATAATTTACCAGCAAACTAGAGCTCCGATATTCTTTATAGGCCAACCTTCGAATGATGTACATAAATGCACATCATACTAGCTAAATCTCCATAATACATATCACAGAGTTGTCTATCATAAGTGCAGGAAGGGGATCATTCCGTGTCCCAAGATAGTAAAATATGGAGTAATGGCCTAAATCTGAGGAAGGCAGAAGTGTAAAATAGACTTGGGGGAAGAGGGAGGAATTAAGATAATTTGAGCAGTGCAATACATTATCAAAGCAGATCTTTAAAGGAGGCACCCTCACTACAGATGATCTAAGATAGGTTAGATAAGACACTTCTGGGAATGCTGTAGTGATCATCCCTGCAAAATGCAGAGGGTCAGAGGGGATGACTCAGCTAGCCTTTGCTGGGCTTGCTTTCTAGGACCACTAATCTGCTATTTCGGTGGCTTTGCCAGTGACTTTATTATAGCATACGGTTTGATCTTCACATTAGCCTAAGCACAGAACTGTGCACAACACAGTGGTTTGGGGAGTTGTAGAAGCCTCTTGTTTTTGTATTTGGTTTACATGGGTTTGTGAAGATGCCAGTCCTGTACAAAATATTTCTATTTCCAATATTATCAGGCTGCCCCTTTGCAGCAGAACTGCCATTCTCTTTTAAAATATGTGTAGGTAAGCACAAGAGTGAACAGGCAGAGGGTGTGTGACCATCTGATAGACCATCCACTTTGTGATTTCCTAACAGGTCACGCAGATGGACCAAAAGCTTGATGACATCCTGAGCAGTCTCCAAACTCAATTTGGCACTCAGCCACAAGCGCAGACATCAACCCCAGCCACCCCAACTGGTAGACGTTTTCGGTCATCCTTGGATTCCCCTCCTATGAACCGGAAAATGTAAAAGCGGCAGGATACCACCCGGTCACCTTCTCCTTCTTTCAAGTATGGTTACTTTTATTATTGATGTCTGGAACTTCTGCATTCGTCATTGGCTGAAGTTAAATATTCTGCGGCAGTCTGTTAAATTAAAAAAAGCAAAAAAGCTCATCACACCCCGATGTGTACAAACCCACAAACTTTTGCGCCCAATATCTTAGCAATTATGGGAGAATCCATGTCAGCTTGTGGGATGCTGATAGTCTGGTGTAGTATTTAGGCGGACTGTACCCTTATATACACACACACAGAGCACATTGTTAAAGTGAGAATCCCATAACAGGGTAGGACAACTCTCATTCGTAGGTGAAACGAAAGAGGATTGCCTTTTTGGCACTCACTCTTCTGTTCGCACTAGCTTAATGCATGCAGCATGCTCGAGCAGGGGAGGGGGCCAGCATTTGAACAGGAAACAAATGGAAATCAGTGAACAGGAAAATTAAACAGCATGTTTTGAAGTAAAGACTTCAACCAAGCAGCGAAGATCATGAAAGGGGCAGATTTATCTGCTAGTTTGAATGACAAAGTAAAGACAACAGGCTACTGATTAAAAATATGAAAGTGTACAGAGGCTGGTTGACATGCAAAAGACTGAAGCAAGACCTCAGCTAATTAAAGCAAAGCGTTTGCCAATGTGACGAGATGCACGTTGGAACAGACAGAAATGAGAGATAAAATCTGCTTTGGGTAACAGCACAAGAACATTTTAATAGCTATCAGCTGCACTGATGACTGTTATCCAGAATGTTCTCACTGTTTTACTTTCAGTCAGTGAGGATTATTGACTCCAGTTGCCTTATTTTTAATAAATGAAACTGGTATAATAACGAGATGCGTAAAAACATGCAAAGCCCAGTTTGAATGACTGAACTAACCCTGTACAGCCGCAGTGCTGCCGGAGTGATGTTGAATGACAATGTTTTGAAAAAACAAATGCACACACACTGTAGATGAAAGCTAGTCTTTATCTAAATAAAGTGCTGTATATAAAAATGCTGTGTTTTCATGTAATTTGATTGTAAATTGAGTACATATGCTGGCTGAAGTATTGTTTCTGTGAAATGCTAATGATGCGTACAATTACCTGTGTAAGAAAATGTATCTTCTCTTGCACATCAGCCAAGCAATAATATTGCTGAATATGTAAATAATAACCGTAAATAAAAAGGTATATTGCTATTTACTCAGGCCTTTTTTATATTTGCCTTGATGTTTCATGGTAAGTACAGTCAACCTAATTCAGAAGAAACTAAAATCAAACCGAGGTCTTTGAACCCTGTAACAGCTTGCAGTGAGGGGTAGGATGGCCTACCGGACTATGCATAGTAGTAGGAGCTAGGAACTCCTGAGCTCTAATCCTGGCTGTGACCGTAAGAGCATCCAGAGGGCCAGGGGCTTCCCAGTATGTAGTAGTGAGTATCAGCTGGCCTGACGGGCTCAGTGTACCCCAACTTACTTTTGTCATCATCTGTATCTAAAGGATGACATGTAAGGTATCATATGCAAACTGGCAACAAGCTGGTCAACATTACTGTGTGGTATACGTACAGGAAGTATATGAAAACTTATGAATGTGTGCTGGAAATGTGTTCTTCAAGTGTGTTCGGCAGGCAAAGGAATGTGGTTCCGCCTGCTTGAATGTGTCTCCAGTGTAAACTGAGCAAGGAGAGACAATGAAATTACATTTACATGCCAGGTAGACAAAGCCGTCAGGCAAGCAAGTGTGGGGGATGGTCACTTAACAGGGGATGGAAGCTGCAGCTCCAGGAAACCTTCCTGCCTCCTGAAACAAAGTCATTGACATTTGGAAGATATAAACAGAGAGAGAGAGCACGCGCCATTTTGGCATCCTTCTCCTGAAAAGCCAAAGGGTATGTCTATACTGCAATACAAAACCCATGGCTGACCCACGTCAGCTGATGCAGGTTCATGGGGCTTGCTTCTGTGGGGCTATAAAATTGCATTTTAAATGTTCTGGCTGGAGCCCAGGCTCTGGAACCAGGAGCACCGGAACAGGGGGGCCAGAGGGCCATGGCCCCATCACTTTTAAAAGTGGAAAGGCTATGCCCTTCCACTTTTTACTGGCCATAAGTGTGAGCGATAGGGGAAGGGCGAAGAGGAGCAAACACGGGGCGGGGTCTTGGAGAGGAGAGGCAGTGCTGGAGTGGTGCATCGGGGCAAGGGGTGGCGTGAGGGCAGGGGTTTATGGAGAAGGGGTGGCATGAGGGTGGGGCCATGTGGAGAAGGGGCAGTGTGCGGGTGAGACCACGGGGGGGGGGGAGTGATGCAGCACAGGGGGCGGGGCCATGGTTCAGCTGCCTGTGGCCCCCTACCTTTAGGGCACTTCCACCACTCCAGTTTGGGACCCTCCCCTCTCACGGGATCCTGGCGTCTGGGCCTCAGCCTGAGCTTGAATATCTGCAGCGCAGAACTGAGCCCCACGACCCTGAGTCAGCCGGTCTGGGCCAGCCAAAGATGTTTTATTGCAATGCAGGCAGACCCAAAGAAAAAAAGCGCTTTGAGCTCTGTGTTGGATTCTGACTAAGAACTGGCCAGTCATGCTGGAAAAACAACTGTGGTGAGAAAATTACTTTGAACAAAAGACACGTGGTTGTTAAGTTAGGTTTTAGTCTTACTTTTGTTTGTTTGCAACCATTTCTATCCCAACTCCTTGGTACCTTTCTTGGTATCACTTCAATAGCTGTTCTTTGTTACTAAACGTGCACTTGTTTTATTACATAGCCATCCCAGTGCGGTCTTTCAGACTGAACAGTGAAATCCTCAGTCATGCTAATAAGCTGGGGCTGTTGACTGCCTCTTTAAAGGAGCAGCAAACACATAAGGCTTTGGCAGTGTTTCAGTGGGAGGGACTGGACACTACAGGGGAAACTTGGGGCTGGACACGCGGTTGGTGTCAACCTGTAAGGAGTGACCCAGCTGGGGTGAGACTACGGTGCCGCGAACGCGCTGCTGGTCTCGGGGCTCTGAGCCGCAGCTCCACAGCACAGAGGCATCCAGGGTTACAGGGCAGGCAGCGACACAACGCCTTACTGATCTGGGCTGAACCCCAAAGCATCCCACTCACTCTGCTACTGAGTCACTCTGTGATCTTGAGCTAGTTGTTTAGGCCCAGGTTTTCACAGGGATTGAGGCACTGAACAACAATTGTTTTCAATGAGGATCTAGGCCTTCCCCTCCGTGATTTGTCTGCAAAAAAGGGATTTGCTTTGTCTATTATTGGTTTGGCCGGCCCCCAAAGTGTGGCGGACTCTTGACAGAACAGAGAGAAGATACAGTGCCTACCCTGAAGCACTTACAAACACGCTTACGTGGCGTGTTGACGTTACAAATCCATTTAGGTGCCTCAGGAGGTGTGGAGGATGAAGTGCGTCTACAGTACTTTGACTGTAAATTGCTACGGAGGTAAAGCACAGCCTTGGGTATCAACATGTAGCTGGGAACATGAAGTTCACTGGCATAATCAAAGGTCTGAATGAATGGGGGTTGCTGAGGTCAGAGATCTGCAGAGTTAGGGTTTGATCCTATGAGGTGCTAAGCGCCTCCCACTCCCGCTGATGTCCACGGGCATTGAGGGTGCTCAGCACTCCCCGGGAGGTATTCTGCACCTTGCAAAGTTAGGCCATCAATAAACAAATGACCATTTTAATGCAGTCAAATCGGCCACTAATCACTTATCCCTTTGAAACTCTTTTCCAGATTTGTGTGTCTGGGAATTCAGGCTTGGAAAGAGCACTCTCAGGCTGATTCCAGTCTGCAGACTGGTGGCACTTCTAACACACAGCACTAATGACATGCGAGAGGCAATGAGAGAAGAAATGTGCTTTTAATTAAATCAGCTGATGAGCGCCCATTCTGTTTTGGCTGATTACTGTGGAGAATTACTGAGCATTACCAAATACAGCATGCAACATGGGAAAATGGTAATTAATCACTGTCAGAGGAGTGCTGAGCTGCCGCTGGCTATCAGGCAGAATTGTGAGTTTCAGAGATGTATCAGTGATACCCGTTAGGGCTTTCTACCTAATTCTCTTGGACCTGGTCTCTATTTTCCAAGGTGCTCCATTGTGCCACCAACAAGGAGACTGTCTCCTTCACACTCCATTGTCCCCGGTAGTCAGAAAGGAAAGGAAAAGAGAGCAGACATCACTAGAGGGATTCATGGATTTTGCTTTGGAACCCAGCCACACCAGTAAATCTAAAGGTGGGCAAGATGAAATTTCCTTCCTGGGAAATACCAAATGTTTGTCATTGGCATCCCTTATCATTTCCATTATTAGTAATTAATAACAACCCTATTTTACTTATTGTGACACCTGAAAAGGGGGTCAGGGCAAAGCACAACACAATAAAGCTCTTTACTGACATATATTCATTATAATAACATTTTTACCCTATGAAACTTAAAATAAATGTGATTGGTCCAATATGCAGGGGGTAAAAAAGGAGGGAGGGAGAAAGAAAAGAGTCATTGATGTGAGGCCAAGAGTGATGATTTGAAAAAACATTGGATGAAAAGAAATTGAAAACACAGAATTATAGAAATGTAGGGCTGGGAGGGACCTTGGGAGGTCATCTAGCCCATTCCCCAGCACAGATGTAGGACCCAGTATACCTAAACTTCCTCTGACAGGTGTTTGTCCAACCTGTTCTTAAAAACCTCCAATGATGGGTATTCCCCCACCTCTTTTGGTAACCGATACCAGTACTTAACTACCCTTTTAGCTATCCTAAATCTCCCTCGCTGCAGATTAAACTAATTACTTCTTGTCCTTCCTTTAGTTGGCATGGCGAACAACTGATCACTGTCCTCTTGGTGACAGCCCTTCTCATATGTGAAGACTGTTATCTGGTTCACCACTTTTCTCAAGACTAAACATATCAATTATTTTAACCTTTCGTCATAGGGCAGATTGTCTAAAACTTTGATCATATTGTGGCTCTCCTCTGGACTCTCCAACTTGTCTACATCTTTCTTAAAGTGTGACACCCAAAAAAGTGGAACAGTTATCTCCTGTGTCTTACATATGACAGTCCTGTTAGTACACCCCAGAACGATGAGTCTTTTTTGCAACTGAATCACACTGTTGACTCATATTCAACTTGTGATCCACTATAAGTCCTAGCTCCTGTTCAGCCGTACTAGTACCTAGCCAGTTATTCCCATTTTGTATTTGTGCATTTGATTTTTCCTTCCTACGTGTAGTACTTTGCTCTTTATTTAATCGCATCTTGTTGATTACAGACCAATTCTCCAATTGATCACGGTCCTTTTGAATTCTAATCCTGTCCTCCGAAGTGCTTGAAACCCCTCCCAGCCTGGTGTCGTATGCAATTTTTATAAGCATACTCTCCACTCTTATCCAACTCCTTAATGATGTTCCAGTATATCATAGTAATGAGATTTATTGTATTGTCATTAAAGATGTGTGTGTGTATGTGTCTTTTTTTAAAAGCAAAATCTTTTGAAATTGTTTTCAAGGTGTAATATGTTCCACAACCTAAACCCAGCACTGCAAAAGCACAATCACTTACTAATATAAGGTGCAGTGGTAGGATACCTAAAAGGAGGAGGAGGTATGGCCCCAGACACCTCTCATCACGACAAGTCTCAAAGAGGAAGTCTTAAATGTAGCCAGCATCTTCACCAATAAGGGAGTTAAAAACCAGCCATCACTCATCCCACCACTTTGGCAGCAGCCCCTCTGGAGGATGCAGGGTGGGTATAATGTGCTCAAGAATGTTCAAACCAGTGAGCAAATGTGCTTATTCTTGCATTTTGAACAAGCTACTAGTGACACAGAAATCCTGCCATTTGGACTGCTGCAGAATGCACTGAACTGACTGAGTCTTGAGGACACCAGGGCAGGTAGCATAGCCTGTGCAATTTGCACCCATCCCACCATCAACCTCAGCCTGGACCAGTCCACACAAGAGATCCACTTCCTGGACACTATGGTGCTAATAAGCAATGGTCACATAAACACCACCCTATACTGGAAACCTACTGACCGCTATACTTACCTACATGCCTCCAGCTTTCATCCAGACCACACCACATGATCCATTGTCTACAGCCAAGCTCTACGGTACAACCGCATTTGCTCCAACCCCTCAGACAGAGACAAATA